CGGTTCAAAGCCAGCCTGAGCAAGAAAAGCCGTGACACCCTTATCTCCAGTTAACCACCAGAACACTGGAACTGGAAGTCGCTGTGGCTCAAGAGGTATATTGCTAGCCTTGAGCTAAAGAGCTGAGGGACAGCGCCCAGGCCCACAGTTCAAGCCCCACGACTGACAAAACAACAAGAAAAGCAACAACAAAACCCTGAAATAGGTTTGGAGAAACCTCCCTTAAATTTTTAGAAACATTATAAAATAGGATATTATTTTTCAAGTTTCAGAAGCCACTAATCATTAAGCTTAAAACTCTGAAATAAAGAACCCAAATGATTCTTTTCCCAAGATTACATATTATTGGTGCACAGTTCTAGGCATAGAAAGACAAATAGAAGGTCATTCACGTTCTCTAGTGGCACATGGTCTGAAAGAGCCAAGAGACATACAAAGGAGCAATATTTGAAGGGGTTCCCAAAATGTTTTAAAAAGAAGAATGAAAAAAAGAAAAACCCTCATATTTGTGTTACAAAAAAAGTAAGCCACAGACACAATATCCACCAGAAAAATCACACAGCTGTCTCTACCTCCTCCCCTTTTCAAGGGTCACTGCACTATTAACAAGGTATGCAAACAGGATTTTCATCATTCTGGACCCCATTCCCTCTTACCATTGACACACAAACCAGTCCTGGCATAGAATTGTAGCAGGAAGGACTGTTATCCAACTCCCCAATGAGTTCCATGAGCCATTTCCAACAGCTGGAATTGACCTAAATTTTGTGAAGTGCATGCTAAAGCCAATAAATGTTTCCAACAGACTATCCACCAATCTATTCTACCAAATCAAGGCCAAGGGATCATATTACAGTAAATTCTCACTATTCTCTTTGTCACATCCAGATTCCAAACTTCAAGCCAGGATTCTTATGAGATTTGCCATAGTATTTTGCCTGTTTTGCTAGTTTTACAATTTACAATGTATCATAATCTGAACAACTGTCAGATGAAAGGACAAAACAAAGAAATATATCATAGAGATTGGAGAGTTAAGGTTTATAAATGACAAAGGATGTATCTAAAGTTGAGTAATCCAAGTTAAAATGACTGTAGGCCAAGCTTGCTGATTCTTGCTATATAAGAATTAAAATTGAGATCAGCCATTCACTACTACAATAGACTGAGAAAAAAAATCAAGTTCAAAACACAGCAAACAAAACAAAAGAAATGTGTTAGGACAACATGTTAGTGACTTCATTTCTAAATATATATATATATATATATATTCACAAAGTATTTTTTTATTGTACTGATTTTAATCCTTGCATTCAATTCCTCTAATTCTCAGTATAAGAAATTTTCATAGACTGCTTGCTAGCAAAGTTATAATAAATCAAATGAAGGGTAAGAACTACAATTTTCTTGATTTCTAATTTTCAGGCGCAACACAAGCAACAAATTAAAAAATTTGAAAGTAACAATACTGGTTTCCTTCCCTTCAAGATAGACTAATATAAATAAGACACTCTACAAAAAATATGTGAACCATTATAGATATAAAGATTCTTTTTCAGACAACCAATTAAAAAAACTGTAAAATACTAACTTAAAATGATAGAATTAAGCCACAGTATTTTTTCTTAAGATTTTGCTTATTTGGGGAAGGAAGAAAAAACAAATTCATCTATAACGATAGCACTTTTTAAACTACAATTACTTACAATTACTTAAGCGAACTACTGTCGTTAATAGTACCAGTGTCTTAAAAGCTTCTGTAACAATGTCAATGTAGCTGTCACATTTTAGGTCTGATCCATCTAAGTGTCCATTCATTCATGATATCAAAGGAGGGAACCATAGAGGGATACAAGATGAATTCATTCAGAGTTCAATAAGAAATACAAATGTATTCCAGTTGATATGATGCACGGTTTCAAGTCAACATAATAATTAAGCTGGCCCTCACAGAAATGGAAGTAACAAAGTGACATGGAAAATATGGAGACCAGTATAAGCTGAGGCAGCAGGAAGTATGAGAAATGAAATCATTGTGAAGGTGGACCTTGGGGTGTCATGAAGTGATAGATTGGAAATAAAACTTTTAAAAAGGCCAGAAATTTGAGGCTTAGATGTCACCGTTTTCTTTAAATTAGTTAGCAATACAAAATAAAAAAGCAACGATTAGTAGAGAAATACTAAGCCATAAAATTTAGGAGTAAATACCTGATTAGCAATAAGCTCAAGTTATTAAAAGTAGGTTTTAAACCTTAGGTATTCCAGATCCAAACATTAATCTTGTGAAAAATGTTATGTTCAGTCATTGAAGAATATTGATATTGAAAAAGATACTCCAAATGGTGAGACGAAGGACAGAGTGAACCAGTCTAACAACGATACTCACAAGACACTATGTTAGAAATGAACTTTACAACTTGCGGGGGAGTTGGGGAGGAGAGGTAAAATGGGAGAAAAATGGGGGAGGGGGTAAAAATGTTTGACAAGAAATAAGTATGTAACTGTAACCCCTCTGAACAGCTTGACAATAAAATTAAATTTAAAAAAATATCAGATTAGAAAAAAAAGATATTCCAAAGAGGTTTGCCTTATCATTTAAGAAAATAATCATGAGATTTGGAGGATCACAGTTCCAGGAAGGCTAGATCAGAAAAATTACCTGGGCTCCATCTCGAAAATAACCAGCAAAAAGCAGGGCTGCATGCAAGCATGCAAATGGCAGCGCTCCCACTTAGCCTGGAGGAGGTTCTGAGTTACCACAAAAACAAAATTCTATGGACTAAGAATCAGTGTGGGCTGCCTATAGATTTCAAATGTCGACATAAATGTGACTTTTTCTAAAGTAAAATGACTCTCAAAAATTACAGTGATGACCTGGAAGATTTGGAGAAGGAAAGCAAAAGGCGAATCTAACAACTGTGGGAGGAACTAAAAGTAGGGTAGGTACACTGCCCTTCTAATCTTCTAAGTTCATTTTCCAATTATAAGTGTTTAGCTTAGAAAGGTGAGAGATAAGGGAAGTGGCTGCGTTTGAGCAGCGCAGCCTGCATTTGTAGAGATGATGGCAAATACTCATAGCAGAGGGGTAGGTAATGGAGAGGCCATGGGGTTAAACTGGCTGAATTTGAAAGCTAGACGATCTTGAAACCATCTCTTCATAGTCTATTCTCTTATTCTATTAAAATTAGGATAGTGCGTACAGGAAAGAATAAGAAAGGGCATAAGATACTGGGTGAATAAAAATCTTTTATTAAGCTTGTACTATGTGCCACCAGTGTGATCCTGTAGTTTCTTTGAAGCAGCAAGCCTTTCATGTTGTGGACAGTGTGTCTAATCCATTCTTTAAAGAAGCTTTTCTGGGTTCTCTGGGAACTGGAGGAAGACAACGAGTTAAATACTTTGGGAGGGCCCTCAGTGTAGAGAAAGGGGAAGTAGGGAAAGAAAGGGAAAGGGCTCTGGAGAGACAAGTTGAGATTCTAGCTTTGTACTACAATTGTGGATGGGAATGTTCTTGTCACCCGACAATCTTTGGACAAGGAAACTTCCATGCATGGAAAGTAGGGAAGATAATAAGATGTGCTCAGGACTCCTCTGTTCTCCCTTGTATATTAATTCTCAAGACAAATGTTGGGCTTTTTTCTGTTCTCTGGTCTCTTAAACAAGAAGCAATCCTAGCCTGAGGCTGGTGGCTCACGCCTACTCCTGAGGCTGGTAACTGAAGATTGAGCTTTGAAGGCAACTCAGACAGGAAACTCTTATCTCTAAATTAACCACCAAAAAGGGGGAAATGGAGCTGTGGCTGAGTATTAGCCTTGGGCAAAAAAATGCTCAGAGCCAAGTTCAAGCCCCAGGACCCAGCACAGACACAGACACACACACACACACACACACACACACACACACACACACACACACAATTCTATTTCTCCACCCTACTCTTCCTCATACCCAAGTGCCCACCACACACACACTGCAAATTAAAAAAAAATGTAATTTAAAGATTCTCTTTCAAAGTAACTGTAGCTACTTATTGATTGGGTTTCAGTCAGAATTAACAGTTCAGTTTACCCCCACTTCCCATAGCCCGTTTTTAGCCTGTCTTTGGCAGTGAAGGTAAAGGTGCTAAACGCTGGCGACCCAGCTCCCACCCTAACTAAGCATTTCAGAGGTTACAGAGTGGACTGACTACTTTAGGATCTGGGATTCCCGGGAAGCCAGGCCAAGCCCGTGAGAAGTCCACCCCAGGGTAAATTCCGTACATAGTTTCTTCAGTCTCTGGGTTCAGGGCTCTAACATCTGGGTTAATTGGATCCTGCAGCTTGGGTCACCAAGCACAAGAACAGCTGGGTACTTTGCTCGGAGACTGGACCGAAGTGACCAGTAGATCTTAGACACTGCCTGTGGAAATACCAGCGCCAACAGGCGTGCAGATCAGCAATGAGCCAAGCCGAGCATAGGCTGGACCTTGGGGGTCAAGTCTGCACTTGGGAGAATTCTTTTCAATTTTATGTAAGTTCCGAAACTGGATGGATTTCTATCCAGAAGGGAGTATTTACTATATGTGCATATATTAGGTATTATATATATCATATATATATATATATATATATTTATTTATATAGATGAGTGTGTGTGTGTGTTCTGCGCACACAGGGATACAAGAAGGGAAAACTCAGGAAAGTCCAAGCTCAGCGTTACAATAAAGCACTTGCTACGCGCAGCTTCTTCTCTGCACTGTCCAAATAACAGACACGGTCTAAACCCTCTCAGTGCGCATGCGTGCGCCATCAGTGAGTGAGTGAGTGTGTGTGTGTGTGTGTGTGTGTGTGTGTGTGTGTGTGTGTGTGTGTGTGTGTGTGGAGAGAGGGGGGGGGAGGAGAGAGCGCGCGCGCGCAACGTGAGCGTGAGCGCGCGGAGGGGGGAGGGGAAAAAGGGAGGCAGGCGCATGCGCGCTGCTTGCGTCAGCCGCCTTGGATGCCGGAACTGCGAGTCTCTGCGCGTCGGTGTTGGTCGCCGCGGTGTCTCTAGCCTCAGGTGGGCGCGCTGCGCGGGTGAACTGAGGAAAGAAGGGCTGGCGTGAGTGCGCTCCGCTGCCGCAGGAGTCAGCCCTAGAGCGTTTCCTCCCTGCCGGCTCGGACCCGGCCGCCCTTCCTCCCGGCCCCCCCCCCCCGGCCCGGGTCTTTGGGGACCCCTCCCTTCCTCTCCGGAGCCATGAAGCTGGTGAGGAAGGACATCGAGAAGGACAACGCGGGCCAGGTGACGCTGGTCCCCGAGGAGCCGGAGGACATGTGGCACACCTACAACCTGGTGCAGGTGGGCGACAGCCTGCGGGCCTCCACCATCCGCAAGGTGCAGACCGAGTCCTCCACGGGCAGCGTGGGCAGCAACCGCGTGCGCACCACCCTCACCCTCTGCGTGGAGGCCATCGACTTTGACTCCCAGGCCTGCCAGCTGCGGGTCAAGGGGACCAACATCCAGGAGAACGAGTACGTCAAGATGGGAGCGTACCACACCATCGAGCTGGAGCCCAACCGCCAGTTCACCCTGGCCAAGAAACAGTGGGACAGTGTGGTGCTGGAGCGCATCGAGCAGGCCTGCGACCCGGCCTGGAGCGCCGACGTGGCCGCCGTGGTCATGCAGGAAGGCCTGGCCCACGTCTGCTTGGTCACGCCCAGCATGACCCTCACGCGGGCCAAGGTAGAGGTGAACATCCCCAGGAAACGGAAAGGCAACTGCTCCCAGCACGACCGGGCGTTGGAGAGGTTCTACGAACAGGTGGTCCAGGCCATCCAGCGCCACATCAACTTCGACGTGGTGAAGTGCATCCTGGTGGCTAGCCCGGGATTTGTTCGGGAGCAGTTCTGTGACTACATGTTTCAGCAGGCAGTGAAGACCGACAACAAAGTGCTTCTGGAAAACCGATCCAAATTTCTGCAGGTAAAAAAAAAAAAAAAAGCATTGCTTACTTAGAGGTAGTGAAGAATGAGCCCAGAGGATGTATAGAAACGACTCTAAAAGTTTTAGATCTGGGAAAAGTAAAAGAGGAGAAAGTCTTTACTTATCTAGAACTGTAAATGAGATAATGAAATAGAGACTTGTTCAGTTTCTAGCATATTTATGTAGCAAACTTAGCTGCCTTTTGCTTTTGGCGTTGTCCCTGTGGGTTGATGAATGAATGGTCTCAGATTATTTTGTCTCCTATAATTGTGATTCTAGGTCCATGCCTCCTCTGGACACAAGTACTCCCTGAAAGAGGCTCTTTGTGACCCTTCTGTAGCTAGCCGACTTTCAGACACGAAAGCTGCTGGGGAAGTGAAAGCCTTGGATGACTTCTATAAAATGTTACAGCATGAACCTGACCGTGCTTTCTATGGACTCAAGCAGGTGGAGAAGGCCAATGAAGCTTTGGCAATTGACACATTACTCATCAGTGATGAGCTCTTCAGGCACCAGGATGTAGCCGCCAGGAGCCGGTATGTGAGGCTGGTGGACAGTGTGAAAGAGAACGCAGGCACAGTTAGGATATTCTCCAGTCTTCATGTATCTGGGGAACAGCTGAGCCAGTTGACTGGAGTAGCTGCCATTCTCCGATTCCCTGTTCCTGACCTTTCTGACCAAGAGGATGATTCCAGTTCTGAAGAGGATTAATGACAGAAACAATTGAGACAACCTGTCCTCAGCCCTTCACATTTTCTCAGCATCCCTTGACAGGAAGCTGCAAAGAGTGTCACTTTCTGACTCATACTAGGATTTCTTATGTATTTGGTCACACTAGCTATTTTATGGTTACAAGAAGTGTTCAGACTAAACAATAAAAGAGAATAATCTTTATTACAACTATTTTTTGTTAACTAGGATAACATATCTGATGAGAATACTTTCATATTGCTCGGGATAGATCATGACTTCATTTGACACACTTTTTCTTTTTTTAAGTTTACAGTGTGTTTTGATTCTGCATGGTTTTCTTCCAGTACATTTGAAGACCTTTTTTCTCTCCATCTGTCTCTATTTCTTTTCTTTTCTTCTTAGATTTAACTGTTATTTCCTATTTTAAATAGTAGCCAGATAATTAGTAAATTCACAAGGTAAATTTAAAATAGAAATAGTATTTTTCTTAGGTTTATTAGCACAGTTAATAATAGACTCTGGGTGTTTTTTTTGATGCTAGAATTAATATTTTCTGTTGAGAATCACCTAATCAGATATTTTCAGATGATAGAGTTTATCTACTCAAGATTCTCGAGATAATGATAATTTCTTTTAACGCTTCTGTTCTGTTTGAGGGGGTGGAGTGGTGTTGGTCCCAGGGCTTAAACTCAGAGTTTGGGTGCTGTCCCTAAGCTTTTTCTCTCAAGGCTAACACTCTACCACTTGAACTTTTGGATTTGGAGTGATAAATTGGAGATGAGTCTCATGGACTTCCCTGCCTAGGCAGTGTTTCCCCTGAAACACTACTACATTTTATTTTTGTCTTGTCAAAGTTATACTTAATGCTATCTTGTATTTATATTTGGTACTCTGCTTTTACATTTTTTTTAACCATCCTAAGTGCTTGAACATACTTTATTTTTATTTTTTGGGGGTCTGGTCGTGGGGCCTGAACTCTGGACCTGGGCGCTGTCCCTCAGCTCTTCAGCTCAAGGCTAGCACTTGAGCCACAGTGCCACTTCCAGCTTTTTTCTTTTTGCTTATGTGGTGCTGAGGAATCAAACCCAGGGCCTCATGCATGCAAGGCATGCACTCTACCACTGAGCCACCTTCCCAGCCCCACCATATTTTATTTTTAATTTCAGATGTTTCTTATTTATTATTGTCAAGGAGATGTACAGAGGGGTTACAGTTACATAAGTAGGGTAATAAGTACATTTCTTGTCAAACTTGTTACCCTTTCCCTCATTTTCCTCCTACTTTATCAAACCCCCCACCCCCAAGTTGTACAGATCATTCTTAATGGATTGTTTTAAGTATGGAACCAGCATAGCCTGAAAGTTTGAGTAATCCTGTCATTAATACATGGCAGTTGTACTCCAACACTTCTTAGTGTAATCAGGAATTATCTGTGAACACCTTAATTTAAAGTATTCTTTGTCTGAAGTATTTTTGGTTTGCATTCCTAACAGAACTTTGGAAATTAAATTGGATTTTTTTGGGGTGGGGGCCAGTCCTGGGGCTTGAACTCAAGGCCTGGGCTTCGTCCCTAAGCCTTTTTGTGCTCAAGGCTAGCATTTACTTGAGCCACAGCCCCACTTCCGGTTTATTCTGTTTATGTAGTGCTGAGGAATTGAACCCAGGGCTTCATGCATGCTAGGCAAGCACTCTACCACTAAGCCACATCCCAAGCCCCGTTAAACTAGATTTTGATCTTTTATAAACCTCAACATAAAAGTTAGGACAGGTCATGGAACAACAATTTATCTTATAAAAGTCCTGGTTCAGTGATGCCTACCTTAAGTAAACTTTTGCTTGTGTTTTCTGTGTCTGTGGTCTTTCCTCATAGTGTAAAAGGTTTGGGATTTTTTTTTTTTTAACTTCCTAACTCGTTTCCACCTCTTCATCTGTTGATGGGAAGTGATTGTTTCATATATTCTATTTCATTTAAATTTTTTTCTTTAACTGTTTTAAATTTGTTTTTGTTTATGTGGTACTGAGGACTTGAACCCAAGGCTTCATGCATGCTAGGCAAGGATTCTACCACTAAGCCACATTCCTCGTCCCTGTTCCAAATCATTTTTTTAATGTATCAGCCTCCTAACCTAAACATAATCCAAATTGTCATTATTATTTCATGAATGTTTTAAAATGTTAGTGTGCGTGTGTATGTCTGTTCTGGGGCTTGAAGTCAAGGCCTGAGAACTGTCCCAGAGCTTTATTGGTCAAGAATAGTGAGGTGCTATTGAAACCACAGCTCTATTTCTGGCTTTGTGGGAGTAGTTCATTGAAGATAAGACTGTTCCTGATTTTCCTGTCTGGGCTGGCATGGAACCAAAATCCTCTGATCTCAGCCTCCTGAGATTACAAGCTTACAGGCATGAACCAGAGATATTGTTAGATGATTTTAGTAAGACTATGGAAAGGAAGTTACCACATAATTAATAATCATAACCTCAGAATTTAAAGAATTTTGGATCTCTAACTCATAATTTCTGCACCACTAAAATAAAATCTGACAAACCCATTAAAGACATTTCATGATGCAGTTTCGCAAATTTAAATTGCCTATTAGCCCCACATTGGAAGCTCCTAAAACTTAGTGACCAGACTGTCCCTAGACTAATTAAATAAATATTTATACCCTAGAAATACTGGAGTTATTTTTTGTTTAGTGATTCCAATAAGGATCAAGGCTGAAAACCAGTATTTCAGACCTTGCTTCAGGAAAATGAAGACCCTGACCCTCAGTATCCATGAAAATTTGTTAGAAAATAGAGTCTAAGGTTCTACTGTTGACATACTGAGTCAGCTTCAGCTTAGTCCACCATCTCCAGGTGATTGCTCTACATAAAATCTCTTATGAGCATTGACAATAGCGTTTTCTAGCAGGGCTCAGAAATCTCTGTCTGGGTCATCAGCTATAATAGATTTATAGTTTTAAGGTCTTTCAAGAGCTGAGTATTCTTGTCTACTCAACCATCTATAAGAAAAAGTCTTAAACTTCCTAGTTTAAAAACCACTTTGGATTATTACTAAAAATAAATTTATTCAATACCATAGGGGGAAATAACAAAATAATGTGAATAAAATGAAAAACAGTAACTGTGTGTGTGCATGTGTCTGTGTGTGCCTGTGCGTGCATGCATGCGTGCTTGTGTGGGCACGTGCTTGCCAGTCCTGGTACTTGAACTAAGGTCCAGCGGCTATACCTGATCCTCTTTGCTCAAGGCTACTCCTCTGCCACTTGGGCCATAGCTCCATTTTTGGCTTTTTGGTGGTTATTTGGATGTAAAGGGTCTCACAGACTTTCTTGCCCAAGCTGGCTTTGAACCAAGGTCCCAGATTTCAGCCTCCTGAGTAGCTAGGATTACAGTTGTGAACCCTGCTGCCTAGCCTTGTAATAACTTTTAACTTGTCTAAACAAAATGAATCTTTGGGAATCATAATGTAGTTTCAGCTGCTGTTGATTAGTAGCAGCTAGTGAACATGTGATGAAATATGGTGAAATCTTAACTAATGTTCAACTAATGAAATTTCCCTTGGGGTAAATAAGGATTTACGTTTTCCCACTAGTCTCAACAAAACTGAAGCATGTAGATTGATTCAGGTTGCTGTGAATATGAATTTATTAAATTACATATCACTATTCCTAATCTCCACTTTCGTGCTAGATACCTTGCTGCAACAGAAAAATCACAACTTCCAGATTAGTTTGGGCAACCCAGTGACCTGTCTGAAATGGAAAAAGGCCAGGAATAGGAATAAAAATCTGTAAGGTACTATCTGCTATTAGCCAGCAGAAAAAGCCAATCTGGAGGCATGGCTCAGATGATCATTTCTATGTCAGCTGGGGAAAAAACAGCTGACCAAGAGCTTAAGGCCCTGAGTTCAAGCCCAGAGCACACATAAACAACCACTCTCTTGAGTGTGGGAGTGAATGTCTATAAATGCTGGCACTTAAGGTTAGTCCTGTTCCAGGACAGTCTGGGCTTCATGAGATACTCTGTTTTAGGGGGGAAAATCAGATAAGATTTATAAAACTGAGTAGCTGGCCATTGGCACCTCATGTCTGTAATCCTAGCTACTGAGGAGGCTGAGATCTGTGGATTGCGTTTCAAAGCCAACCAGGGTAGGAAAGGCCATGACGCTTGTCTCCACTAGAAAATCAGAAGTGGAGCTGTGGCTCAAAATAATAGACTGCTAATCTTCAGAAAAGCTCAGGGATAGTGCTCAAGCCCTGAATTCAAGCCCTATGACAGACAAAAACCAGAACAAAACAAAAGACAAAACCTCAAAAAATAGTTTTTATATTAATGTCATTGTAATTAAGTTTATATATTCTAGATGTATTTCAGAAAGTAGGTATTCAATATTGATATGTTTGTATTGTTGATTGTCAATTTGGTAAAAGTTTATTGTAGAAATATTATCAAAATGCCAAGATAAATTTTAAAGAACTTAACTGCAAGTATAATGTTGAGTTTTGAGCATACCTTATTTAGAAAAGATTCAAAAGTTAACTGGGTGCTGGTGGCTCACACCTGTAATCCTAGATACTCAGGAGTCTGAGATCTGAGGATCACAGTTTGAAGCCAGACAGGGCAAAACAGTTCCCATGAGACATTTATCTCCAATTAACCACTCAAAAACCAGAAGTGGGACTATAGCTCAAAGTGGTAGAGCACTAGCCTTGAGCAAAAGAGCTCAGGGACAGTGCCCAGGTATGAGTTCAAGCCCCCTAACTGACAAGAGGGAAGGAGAAGGGGTGGGAGGGAGAGATGGATGGAAGGAACGAAGGAAGGAAAGAATGAAGGAAGGAAGGAAGGGAGGGAGGGAAGGAAGAGAGAGAGGGAAAAGATTCAAATCATTTTTGCAACTAATTATTAGAAAATAAGATCTAAAGTAATAGTTTTGGGAACAAATAAGGAGAATAATCTGAGACATTCCTTAGCATAGTCATCAAATAGCAGGTAAATTTGTCTAAGAGCAATAGTGTGGGTGATAAATTTAAATGTGAAAGACCATGAAAAAAACATGAGCAAGAGATATTAAAGTGAAAATGCTAAACTTTATTGTTTTTCTTTATTTAACAATATTTATTCTTAAGGCAATGATCTGTATAGATTTACAAGTATATACTTTGCAAGATGGCCTATTTGTTTTCTAGAATAATTTCT